ATATTTTTCTTCATTTTTGTGCCACCATAATTTGGTTGGATACGATCGCTTAAGTAATTTTCTAGCTCATTCACCCTCGTTGATTTTTCCTTTTCGGGCGAGAACTGAGTTAGATAGTCAATTCCGTTGGGCTTTCGAGCCCGCTTTGCCGGTGGTTGGGGATCATCGTTAGAAGAAGGAATCGAGTCTCTAAGAGGAATATCATCCATATGACTGATCTTATAAAACACCGAACTCAAAATGGAAAGATTCACTCTACTAAGAACGTAGTGACTAATACTCATGAAACAATTTAAACCGGCGGATCTAAATTAATTGCAAGTAAATAAGATAGATAACCCCTGTACCTTTACCTTGAAATTCTCCAGAGTTACCTCTCTTTTTGATTCATATTTTGATATAGCCGAATATTCGAATCTTAATTTCATATTCGAATATCAACTCATCGAATGGATATTCGAATATTCGAATATTCGTTGACATCCCTACTATATACTAATAGATCTATATGTCTAAATAAATTTTCGTATAAATTTATACATGTATGTTTAAAAACGTAAAATAAATAGCATTTTTGGTCTGTACTTCATTCTATGTTTCTTTTCTTTTGAAAAGCACACGCACTTCTTTAAAAGAAAAAAAGAGAAAATATTCAATGGATGTAAATGTCTTTAATTACCGTCTCCCAATTAAGTTTGCTCGTAATTAACCCCTATTGTCATTGCTTTGACACGCACTTGACCCTCCAAAGGATGCGCCGCGGCATTTTGTTTGTTTATCAATTAGCACTTTAATAAATAGCAAAATTGTCTTCTCATTCCTTGATTATCGTTAATGTACTCGTGGAAGATCTTCTTTTTTTTTTTTTAAACTGTCTTGATAGTTTATTCATGTACTTTTTTCAATCAATATTTAATTAAAGTCCCAAAAATGAAAATATATTATAATCATATCATAGTAAAATTTTGCTTGGGCCGAGGTGTCTTATGTATGGGCCGACCTGTCTTAAATCTTGGGCCGACCCGTCTAGCGTCTGAGCCGAGATGTCATATGGGCCGAGGTGTTGTCGATGGGCCGAGTTGCCTGACATTCAAATGAATTAGCCGTCCGCTTCAACTTTTTGCTTTGGACATCCTTTTAATTCCCTATCACCACAGAACTTTCGTTTTTTACCTCTGAAAGGTTTAAATCCACCAAAATATAAAGTTGTTGATTTTTCATACATGTAGCAATAAGCTATTCGTTTAAACCTCCGATGCTGAAGAGTTCCAGCAATAGTCTGCTTCAAATACTTCGTTCTACTACTATTTCCTATAGAAATGAACCATAGTACGAAGTATTTGAAGCAGACTATTGCTGGAACTCTTCAGCATCGGAGGTTTAAACGAATAGCATATTGCTATGAAAAATCAACAACCCGGCCACGAAACCCCGAATGAAATTATGTGACACTGGTCTGAGATCCGTAGAGACACCAGACCAAAATTTTTAGTCTCTACGGATCTCGCTGAGATTACTATGAAAAGGGAATAATAACTAGAAAGTCTGCTATTGCAAGCAATAGCGTATGTCGCTCCGAACTGGCTTTATTAGAAATGTTTTAAAAGTGTATTATTCTGGTGTTGTTTTTTTTTAAATTTAATTTTTCATACATCACAACACAGATATTTATACTAACACTAACATATACGGAGAATATACGGCGCTAAAAAAATTGTTACGAATATAGTTCGAATTTCCTCGACAATACATTATATAGAAAATATACATTATCCTTGACCCAAGCGCCTATGTTTTTTTGTATTCATATAAAGCAGAAATTGTCCCAAATCTTATACGTGAAAAGAAGAAAACACTTGCTGTGGCCTTCAACTCGACATTTAGATATATCGACGACGTATTGTCAATTAACAATGGTTATTTCCATTCTTAAGGTATCCGATCCATAATAGCCTCAGATTCAATGAATCTGAATGCATAACAGATATATATTGGCTGAATACTCAGGATATGTAGACATAATCTTCATGTTTTAGTATCAATGTGTAAGAGCGGAATGTGTCCTAATTTTTGACCTTGTCCTGTCCTTGAAGAGTTATCCCCTTTTGCTCTTAATCAATAAAATCAATTCTAAAAAAATCTATCTGGTAAAAAAATAGTTTTCAATCAGTTTTCTATTCCTAATAATTAAATACATTTTTCCACCAAAGCATTTTTTGATATTCTTAGTATTTAAATTTTTATTTTCAAAAATTTGCTTGTCCCCATAGACCTAAATGCATTCTTCATTAATTAATTACTATTTAGTTAATTATATTTTTGAAAATTTCTCCTGGTAAATCCTTTTCTACTGTAAAATGCTTTGAATTAATTTCCGAGTATTTATTTAAGGTTAGAAAATTAGGTCCTTTTATGGATCGGATACCTTAATGTCGATACGATATATCCCAGTGAGCTTGAGATAAAAGATACTACAGAGTATGACACATCTGTTTCATAATTGGATATTTTACTCGAAAAATACGTTAATGGTAATCTAACAACCAAACTTTATGATAAACATGATAACTTTAACTTTTCAATCGTCAACTTCCCTTACTTATGCAGCCATATACCTTCATCACCTGCATACGGGGTTTATATCTCTCAGTTGATTCGATACGCAAGAGCATGCTCTACGTACGTACAATTTCTAAAACGAGGTAAACTATTGACAAACAAATTGATGAAACAAGGTTATCAGCAGTCTCGTTTAAAGTAATCATTTCGTTCGTTCTATGGTCGATACAATGATCTTATCAGCAAATACAATTTATCATTGAGTCAAATGCTGACTGACGTTTTTTATACTAATTGTTAGGCCATTATTTACACACTGAATTGTCGACAGATTTTTCCGTTATTTCCCGATCATGACAAGGAGCACACGGCGTTAACAAGACGTTATTATGCCTTTTGAATAGTCATTAGTATGCCTTTGACAGGCCCGTGCTTTTGAAGGGGAGGGGGGGTAGCCTCCCAAAAAATTGACAAGCAAATAAAAAACAAAAACACCCCCATTCAAAAAAAATAAACTGCCTAAACTCGAGAGGGATCTTTTTCTATCTTTTCTGTAAAACTTTTTTTAAATGCAATAATTGACGTTTTTTATACTAATTGTTAGGCCATTATTTACACACAGAATTGTCGACAGATTTTTCCGTTATTTCCCGATCATGACAAGGAGCACACGGCGTTAACAAGACGTTATTATGCCTTTTGAATAGTCATTAGTATGCCTTTGACAGGCCCGTGCTTTTGAAGGGGGGGGGGTAGCCTCCCAAAAAATTGACAAGCAAACGAAAAACAAAAACACCCCCATTCAAAAAAATATAAACTGCCTAAACTCGAGAGGGATCTTTTTCTATCTTTTCTGTAAAACTTTTTTTAAATGCAATAATTTACCAGAGTTTGACCATACTGCAACAAAATGTTTAGGGACCAAGCAGCCAATAAATGAATTTTTTGATTTAAACTATGGCAAGACTGTTCTCTCAAAAAGTGGGGTGGGGAAGCCCCCCCCCCCCCTCCCCACTAGCACTCGTACTACCGGCCTGTTTGAAAAGGCCTTATATCCAAAAATGGAAAGGCGTTATTTTATATTAATAAATATATGAAAGGTTGAATCAGAGCCATTTTTATTTATGCAATATTTAAAAGTATTTTCTATATTCCTGCACATCTCGCAGACAACTGTTTGTATCCGTACTAAGAGAAGTCAACACTCTACTTGTGAATATCCAGGATATAGGTAGATGCAGCTTGGGGCTTTGCTGACCATGTATTAAAAATTCATGTCAAATTTGAAAATATTTTTCTCTCCTCTTGGAAAAAAACAGGCAAACTATTTGCATGGGTATAATGAGCAATTATACCCTTCAACCAAATTTGTGAAATCCATGACCCTTGGTAGAGGTGTATGGCATCAGAGAAGGACTAAGTTGGTTTAACATTGAAAATATAGTACACATTTAAAAATCTATTTCCAGAAAATCTAATACAATATGTTTAAATTATTTTTTGAGAAATTAGCCCTATATTCAATTGTGAAATTTATGTCCCGAGAATAAGATTTCAGCACCCGGAGTGGGCTAAGTTAGTCATGTATTGAGAATAAAAGGCGTAATAACGCCTTTTGCAAAGGCGTTATAACGGGCTTAAATAACGCCTATAAGAAAGGCGTAATAACGCCTTTTGGAAAGGCATAATAACGTTTTTTAGAAAGACGTAATAACGCCTTTTTTAAAGGCGTAATAACGCCTTTTTTCGCGTTATTACGCCTTTTTCGCGTTATAGCGCCTTTTAAATTTTGTTTCTCCATAGATTGATCCTAATAGGCTATGGTAATTTTTACTAGTAAATGTTAAAATTAAAATATAGATTTACATTCATTATTATGAAGTTTAATGAGGCATTCAAAAGAAAAATACACAAGTATGCAACTTTTTCTAAAAGAGTAAGCACTTTACATGGATTCTACATGGAGGAAATAAAATCTTTAACTTGTGAACGATAAATAACATGGCCGTAGGAACTGGGGGCACGGGGGGAGTGTCCCCTCCTTAATAATTTTGCCGGTACTTGATAGTGCCCCCCCCCCCCCCAACTGAAAATGTATGGTTGTGCCCTCTCAAAGTAAAATTGTTTCCTACGGGTCTGAATAATGTTTAAATTGGTTTTCTGAAAATATCATTTTCACTAGCCAAGGGTTTCTGATACGCTACTCTCCTCATAAACCCTTTGCATACGGTGCTGACAAAAAACGGGATTGTTTTTGTCACGTGATCATGATTCTTACCAGGTTGCGCACAGATTGCGTCATCGACAGAAATAAAAAGCGTATTTGAAAAAAAATTGTTTTTAAAGAATAATCACAGGAGTTCGCATACCTATCAATTTTACCGAAATTTTCAGTAAATATAAAAAATACGTGATACCTATAATAATTATTATAGGTATTACGTATTTTTTATATTTACTGAAAATTTCGGTAAAATTGATAGGTATGCGAACTCCTGTGGAATAATTAACAAGAAGGTATTGAGTTATGTTAATTTAATATTTAAACATGTAAAAATGCAAATCTACATCTTCAGTATAGATACTTAATCACATATTTTGCACGTTGCTTTAGAAATTGGATGACACCATATTGCTATTCATAGAATGGCATGTTATCATACGGATCATTGTTTACTTGCATTACCGATATTAAAGAGTCAAGAACGCAAATATCGTCATTTACAAAAAACAATTGCTGATTGGCCGAACGATGTCGATCAACTCCAATCACAACTTGAGAAAAAAATCCCAACTTTTTTTAACACCGTATGCCAAGGGCTTATGAGGAGAGTAGCGCATCAGAAGCCCTTGGCTAGCGAAGATGTGAATATATCTTCTGGGACAGAAGATGATGGGAAGTATTGGTGCCATGCTAAACATTTAGTGGATGAAGCCACAAGGGCTATTACAGTGGAAGAGAAATAGAAATGAAGAATCGCAACTGCATCATTAAGTTATAAAAATAATCAATAAAAATAGCTGTTATTTCCTCCTGTCGAACTTTACATAAAAGGCGTGCATTTGCTGTCGTTTTTTATCTTCATCATAGTAGCTCGTGAGCTTCCGTCTAACTGAAGTAAGAATGTTTCCATGTTATCAGTTTCTGTGTTGACAACTCTCTACCAGCGCCCACATGCCGTTTGCTGCTGTCTGGCAGTTAGCCCCAATCAGATTGTAGGGTGTCGATACCAGGGCATGCTGCATGAACATGTTCACTGTGTACCTACAGTGCCTGACCGACCTAGAATAATTCCTGCTCCACAGTCTCCATCTGTAATTCACAAACATTTATCATTAAGAATTACAAGTTTCTAGCTCTGGCTCAAAAGAAAAATCTTATCTACACCTATAGCACTTAAGGCAATGCAAGTTTTCGAATTTAGCAATGATCATGTTAATAACTGCAGTGTGCTTTATGACTTTGTTTTTCATTTTGCTCTGTCCGAAATATGAAGCACAGAGAAAAATATTCAAAATAATTCCCTAATTTCAACCAAACAATCCATAATAATGACAAGAAGATGGGTGAACATAACGAGCGAAAAGCCTACAATGTGACAAACATGAAGGTGAAAAATTAAATCTCAATTATATCAAAATTTTCCTTGATATTTCATCTAACATTAAAATATACTTTATGTAAAATCTCTACAATTTTCAAAAAACTCACAAAGATTGAAATTATTTGCTTCTGAAATACTATACACACACTAAAGAGAGCAAAAAGAGTCATTTTCTCACACTATAACACAATTTTTCGTTATGAGTGGGTCTTTGCTCCATTTTTTTGAAAGTTAATCCTCAAAGTTTGCATAAAAATATACATTTTTTGGTTTCCAAAAACATGGAGCAAAGACCCACTATACCTTAAAAATATACTTTTATGACATAGCATTTGCATCTTTTCGAGAAATACTTGAAGTCCATAAAGTGAAAGGTCATATCACAAACATGATTTAAATGCCACTATTTATCAGGACTTGTGTAGTCTAGTGGTTAGCGTGCTAGTCTCGAAAGAAAATGATACTCAAGACTTTTATTGCTTAGGGTTCGAACCCCACGAACACCGCATTATTATTTTTTTAATAAAAGAATGAATTTTGTCGAGAAAATTTCCTCAGAAAAGTTTTGTTTATTATAATTTCATAAATTTCAATAATGAGAACTTTACTCTAAATACTAAATTCATAAATTGAAATGATTTTTATATATCTGAAGCTATAGGCTTTCTGCACGCTATGTTCACCCATCTCCTTTGTTAAAATCATTGATGAAAACAAGGTGTAAAAGGGTTCTTAATATCATCATTTTTATGTCAAATATCAGATATTAGAAAAAAAAAGTTTTAGCTATAAATGATTAACTACATTGTTACATGTATCGTGAATTATTTAGTATCGGATGAGTACACTACATTATTTGCTACACCAATTGTTTGTATTCTAGTTGTGTTCTACTGTATTATTATGCTTATTATTATGTTCTGTATGGGCCTTTACCAATTACTGTAACTGTGGTTGTGCCAATAAATATTTGTATTTGTATATTTGATTTTTGAGTAATTGTCATTAGAATATACAACATATTATCGAGAATTTTTAATGCAACATTATTGTTAGCATGATGTGGTTTGTGGTACTTTTTTTTAACGTTTTCCCATTGAAATATATAGAAAAATAACGTTTTCCTACAGAGTTTCTTTGAAAATTTTAGACTTAGACCAATCAGTCAGGTATTTCAAAATGTTATGACGAGGTAAAATTCAAACTACTTATATTGAAAAAAGCAACATGTCTTCTCGTTGCATGGCGTTTGGCCATTTAATTTCATAGTTAGCTTTTTTAAATCGCCAAAATGATGCATTTATGGCGTTATTTAAGACTACAAGGTGATTTTGAAAGTAATGTCGAACCGAGACATCTGAAATTCTTGCCTACAGATGCCCTGATTCACCAGCAGTGACACCCTTTGAGTCGTACATGTGTATGGAAACTTCACAATGTATTGTAATACAGAAATAGTCTAATGTTTGAAAAAAATACCTGCTGCTCATGTAAGCAGCATCTGTAATAACTGTGTCAGACGAATCGCCATAATTCGACCCCTTGTGGATCAACCATCGGTCTCCGTTCTCGACAGTAACGACTACTCCTGCATGGTGGAGGTGATAGTCAAAGCTACGCTTCCTCCGCGATGACCACCAACCTGAGCCCAAGGGTCTGAAATCAAAGATTTCACATGGATGTAACAATTTTTTATGATTTGTTTTCATATACTGGAGACGTTTGTTTGTTTGTTTATTCAGGAAAATGACATAATCATGAAAATTGTTTAAATGAATACACACCCACCCACCCACCCACACCCTCACCCACCCTCACACACACACACACACACACCCTCACATACACACACACACACACACACACACACACACACATATATATATATATATATATATATATATATATATATATATATATATATATATATATATATATATATATATATATATATATATATATATATATATATATATATATCAGGGATGGGGTCAATTACTTTAAAAAGTAATTAATTAAATTACAATTACTTTGACTTTGTCTTCAATTACATTACAATTAGATTACAGGCTTTCTAAGACATGTTATTAATTAAATTACAATTACTTTACAAAAGTAATTAATTAAATTACAAATTACATTTTTAATTTTTTGAAAATTTTTATAATCCTTGTCAATGAATATATAGAACATCATTTATTTGTATATAAGCTCAGCCTCTGCACAAACAGTGCAAGAAATAATGTGTATTGTTCTGGTTTAATTTATAGCATTTATTTACAAAACAATAAGAATCTCCTTAAAGAACTATCCGAGATCAGTTTGATGCAGTTTCCACCACACAAAACCTACATGTACACAAATTGCATGGCTTATGATATTTGATTAAAAGTGAGTATTTTAATAGAGTGAAATGAGTCGCAACCGTAACCTCTCAAATTATATAAATATTTCCTTTGAAGGTAACCTGAACATCCTAAATTGTTATTTATGTTGAACAATTTTACTTCATAAATCAGAATTGTACATATGGAAAATTCATTCATAAAATCTGTTTAGATGTTAAAATAATTATCAAATTGAAAGTTTTTTTTTTCTAAAGCTAGTGGAGCATTTTTAATTGAAATAATTATCTTCACTGGCTTTGTCTTCTAAATCATGGAATGAATATCTCTTTAGAGGAGTTGATTTGTTTTGATTGCAATTTAAAGCTGTGATCTGGAGGGCAATTATCTCTTCCCAACAAGAGAGAACTTAATTAATGACACACACCTTCTTTTTCTTTATTATTGATCAAACAACAAAGATTGAAATGTAATAAATGTGTGTTTCATAGCTGAATAGACCTAAGATAGGTGGTTCAAAATTCATATTTATAAAGTTAACATAGATCAAAAAAATCAAAATTTACATAATGATTAGAAAGAAACTAGTTTATTATGATCAATCCAATCATTTAATTATTTTTTTGTAAACATTAACCTAAGATTTTGTATAATTGAAGGATTGAGGATATTGTTTAACAATAAAATAAAAACCAGTAATATAGGGAGGTACAATGTAGTGGTAACGATATATCATGAATATATCATGAATGTGTATTATATGAAGTAATAGAATGTAATTGAAAAAGTAATTGAAATTACATGGTATTTTTTCAGTGTATTTAATTGAATTACAAGTAATTGAAAAAATGTTCAATTACAAATTACTTCCAATTACTTCAAAAAATGTAATTAATTACAGTCAATTACAATTACTTTTTTCAATTACCCACATCCCTGATATATATATATATATATATATATATATATATATATATATATATATATATATATATATATATATATATATATATATATATATATATATATATATATATATAAGTGTAAAGCCATTTACCAGAGGATAACCCATGAAAGCTAAATAGGCTTATTTCCAATGGGGTCCTCATAGTAATTGCATACACTGTAAGCACTAGTGTTTTGATATAAATAACGTAAGAGAACCTATAACCTGTGTCTTTTGTGATCAATAACTGTTCCTTATCTTCATCTTTTTCATTTCAAACATCCGTCTTAATTTGATTTTTTTTACTTCTTTTTTAAACATGGGTTTGTTTTACATGGATTTTATCTTATCTGGAAGAGAGTTCCACTCCTGAATACCATTATAATAAAAAGTTTCTGTCTCTGTTTTTACAATTATGGGGACGAAAAATTCAACATACAGGATCTAGTTATTCTTGTAGAATTTTGTGTAAAATTATAAAAAAAAAAAAAAAGACGAATAATTTGGTCATTTATTATGGAAAATATCTAAAACATGGTTGAGACGAAATTGAGAAACTCTCTTACAGACAATCGATTTTGCTACAGTAAATTTACCTTTAGATGCCCCCCCCCCCCCCCCCCACACACACTTTTTGATGTTGAAAGGTCGAGCACAGGCAAATTTCAGGATTTGGACAGTAAATTAGCTGTTTTTTCCTTTTGCTCGTCAGATAATTTTGGTAAGTCCCCCCCCCCCCCCCACACACACACACTTTTGGTCAGTTTAAGTTTTTTTTTTTTTTTTTTTGCTTGTCAGATTTTTTGGGGGAAGTTGGCCCCCAACTTTTGAAACCGTTGCTACGGGCATGGCTAGCCAAGGGTAACGATCCGCTCCTCTCCGAAAAGAGGAGAGGGCGGATCGTCACCCTTGGCTAGCGAAAGAGGAGAGGAGCGGATTGTCACCCTTGGTTAGCGAAGATGCATATACCTTAGAATTTGTGTTGTTAATATTTAAAATTCGTTTCCTATTATAGATAGATATGATTTAAACCATACAATCGATTTGACACCACGATTTGATAACTAAGAATGTGATAGTTAACTGTATCAAATGCTTTTTGTAGATCAAGTAAATCCATTCCTGTAAAACGACCTTTTGCTGTTTTACCTTTTATGTAATCTGTTAAATGCCTGACAGCTATCTGTGGAAAATGAGCCCCTGAAGCCAGATTGTAATTCATACAAGATATTGCTTTTAAGTCAAATAGTGTTCCAGATGCGTATATACAGCTTTTCCTAGAATTTTAGAGACAATGCAAAGTATGCTTACAGATCCATAATTTTCTGATCTTAATCTGTCACCTTTGCTAAAAATTTGTTTAGCTCTTGCAATCTTCAGATCATCTGGAAAAGTACCTTCTGAGAGAGACAAAGAAGTAACAGGAAGTTCGATAATGGGCCCTTAATCTCTTAAAAATTTTGCAGTATACCATTAAGACCGGTGATCTTAGCTTTGTAGACAAAGCTTTCTGACACATGCTTCAGTATAAATGAATCATTGATCATCCCTCTGATATCATAAAACTGCTTGATAAAAGTGATGTACTGTAGCTTTATATACATATATACCCTTTGGTGTTGGTAATTTATCAAAAAGTTTAGTAGCAATTTTCAGAGAAAAAAAAATGTCAAGCTCATTTAAAAATTTAGCTCTTTTTACATCTCTTTTGTCTTTCAATATTTATAATGTATCTTTACAACTTTGATATGTCCTTTTGAAACTATTTTAAAGAATTTATTCTTGTCCCAGAAGATTGACCCCTTTAAAAGTTATTGCCCCTTTCACTATAAACATTGTTATCACTGCTTCTAAGAAACTGTAATCTTCAGAGGAACGAAACCACTTCAGAATCCGTCTTAGCGTTCTGTAATGTTGAATTGACGATTGCTAATTTGCATTTTTTTGTTTTAATGTCATGGTCTCTGAGAATTTCATGTTGACATGAGAAAGTTACATTCGTTCTATTTCCTTAGTCTAGAGACCTTTTCGTCTTTTCTAAATATTTCGAAACTTGTAGGGCATTGGCACTCAAATTGCCAAAGGAAGTTGATTTTTTGAATTAAAAAATAAGTAAGGGATACAAGACGAAGATGGTCTAGTATGTCAGATACGGGACTGGGACGAGGTGCGAAGCACCGAGTCTCAGTCCGGTATCTGACATTATAGACCATCTGAGTTTTGTATCTTACTTAAAACATTTTTCAATGCACTTTTGTATTGGCTATTGTCATAATACGATACTGGTGACGGTGACCAAACCAGATGAATGGAGCGCTTAGGGGTTTAAGACATTTCTTTCAGAGGGATGAATAGTTTTTGAATTAAAAACCCTTACTGAACCCCAATCATATATTATTTATCGTTCTGGCATTCTACTGATGCATTAAAAAGAGCTGAAAACTTCATGACAATTATAAGCGATTCTGAGAGTTTTATAAGGGATACATTTATTTTTTACTAACAGATGAACATTATAAGTGACCAGTAGGCAAGTATTCCGGGAAAACGCCGTTTTCGAAAGCGCCACATCTTTACCACTGTTTACGTAAATTAAGTTGGAAATATATATTGAAATTGGATTTTCTGGGAACAAAATCGGAGTTGTATGGGATATAATTGCAGATCGAGTGTGAACTTGTCAGCATTTCGCTTTTTCTTCCCCTGAATACTACCATTCTTGAGTGAACTACTTTACGTGGATTAATTTGGATGTGTTTTCGAAAAAAAATCATAGATTTAATTAATATTAAGTGTTCACTGGACCATATAATGTGCTTCAATACCGGTAGTTTCACAATCAGTGACCTAAGTGTAAATTCTAAGGGATTTCTGGAATATTCCTACTTTGAAAGTATCTTGCCTTGAATTGAATGACGAGATGTTGATTTCTATATAGCTTGAACTGGATTCTATATAGCTTGAATTGGATTACGAGATGTTGATTTCTATATAAAATGCATATTTTTTGTCTATTTGTGGCCTTATCATTCGTTGTGTAAAAGCTAGGTGACGTCATGCAGCCTTTGTTTCACACAGTCCAATATTATTTTGGAATACAATATTAGATGTAATACTGTACTCATGAAAATAATATTGGACTAGACTAATACATTCTTTGAAATATGAGACTCTAGAAACAAAAGAATGACGTCACAAAAATGTTTTAAATAAAAAATAACCCTGTAGCAATAATTGGCTTTAAGAATGAAACTACGAATAAGTACATAAAAAATTAGCTTACCTTGTCCAATATTCTGCCCAGGTAACTCTAGAATTATACAGCCTACGTAAGCACGAATGGGTAGTGCAGTCTCTGCACGAGGCTTGAAGAACAAACATGAGAGACAAAGCGAGGAAAATATAAAATTTTTCCATTCTGTTGCGAAAAAAGTCACTAAAAGAAAAATCACTTTACCCCACTTACTATGTGTGGCTCTAAAGTTATCACGCAAAACTCTGAATTTTAACTTACTTAATTCAAGATAAGCATGCCTACAAAACAGCAGTATAATTGCAAGTTGGGCATATAACAACACGTGCAAAATACAGGAAACATATATCACTGGCAAAGGCTGTTTGTGAGTTTTAAGTGCTTGCTGATAACCAGATTTTATTATGTAACTTTACAACTGTTTCAATTAAGAATGTTAAACTTAATCAAGATAAAACTTTCAATATCATACCAAGCAACTCCCCCCCCCCCCCCCCCAACCTCTTATGTCAAAAGATTAGTTAATGATGCTATAGTATCTGTTATGATAAAAGGTCACAAAGTAATGTACTATTAGTCCCTATTAAAACATTTTTGTGACGTCATTCTTTTGTTTCTACAGTCTCATATTTCAAAGCGTGTACTAGCTTTAGTCCAATGTTATTTCCAGAAGTACAGTATTATATCTAATATTGTACCCCAAAATAATACTGGACTGTGTGAAACGAAAGATGACGTCACCTAGCTTTTACACAACGAAGGAATAAGGCAACAAATAGACAAAAATTATGCATTTTATATATAGAAATCAACATCTCATAATTCAATTCAAGCTTTATAGAATTCAACATGCATTCCGTAATCCAATTCAAGCTATATAGAATCCAATGCAAGCTGTAAGGAAATCAACATCTCGTAATCTATTCTCTATTGAGAAGTTGATGGCTCGTTTTGAGGGGGGAGTATTAAAACGAGCCATCAACTTCTCAATAGAGAATACTCGTAATCCAGTTCATGCAACGAAACTTTCAAAATAGGAATATTCCAGAAATCCCTTAGAATTTACACTTAGGTCACTGATTGTGAAACTACCGGTATTTAAGCACACTATAGGGTCGAGTTAACACTTAATATAAAATTTATGATTTTTCCGAAAACACATCCAAATAAATCCACGTAAAGTGGTCCATTGAAGAATGTTAGCATTCAAGGGAAGAAAAAGCGAAATGCAGACAAGTTTACACTCGATCTGTAAATATATCCCATACAACTCCGATCCCCCCCCCCCCGGAAATTTAATTTCAGTATATATTTCCAAATTAGTTTCCGTAAAGATGTGGTGCTTTCGATATCCGAGGGACAAATACGGCGCTTTCCTGGAATATTTACCTACTGGTCACTTACAATCTTCATCCGTTAAAAAAGGATCCTTCACAATACTCTCAGAATCGCTTAATGTCACCAATGTTGCTCAGCTCTTTTTAGGTATCACACCGGTAATTGTTTTCACTATGTAATTCTATATAGAATAAAAAATCATTAAAAATCAGGTATTTGAATTCATGAAAAAATATTTAGCAGGAAGTGTTAAACGTTACCAGTCACATCAGCTGACACCAAAAAATTGGGTACCTACACGGCATTTTCTGATTTTTTCCATCCGCAAACAGGAATACCCTCAAAACCACGTGTATTCAATGTGTTTATAAACATCCTGTGTGCACCCCAGGAAGTGGCCTCCTATGCCCCGAAAGAAATAGTTCCTGTTAAAAACCTTTAATATTTTACAAAGTACATAAAATATCCTAAGCACAGGTGCCAAAAATGTAAAAATAGAATAAGGGAAATTAAAATATTTCCCACAATAAAAAAAATATTTCTTTATTATGTATGGAACTACAATTGACAAAGTTCATTTTGATTGGTCAATTACCGGTGTGATACCTTGAAGGACCTTTGAAGTTGTCAGATTTTTTTCATTTTCGCACCTGAGATTTCTTAAATGACTGTCACTAACATCCTGAAGTCTGGGGAACTTATTCCCATTATTGCTGGAGATATGATGCATTTATCTCCCTTACTCCATAGCAGTCAAGAATACACACTGAGCACTCTGACAGTAGTTTTTTATGCATATTTTGAAGCAGAATTTCATCCTTAATAGACTAAGCCTGGCAACCAATTTTGTATCCGTGGAGAGTATATGCACTGTTCTTCACAACAAACAAAAAATAATTCACAAGTCTGAGACCATTATGCAATTATTACATAACAAAATTGCATTTTACCCTCCTAAGAATGACAGAATTTACAGAAATTGTTAAATATTAGGCTGATAATAAAATCTGCATCTGGTCAATTTATGTTCCAAATAAAGCCTAGGTACTTGTCTACAACCTGCTATGCAGAAGTTTATCTAAAAGCTGTGTTGTAACACAGGGCAGTCCAAATGATATCAGCATCTGGGGAGGTTCTGGACAGCTCCGACACTCCATTAAACTTGCTTTGATGATAAGAAAATGGAGAAAACAATTCAGATGTAATTTATTGTTGTGATTTATGTAACTGGCTTTCTCTGCAGACACAAATTAGCCATGAAATTCCAATTGAACATACATAATTATCCTCTTTTCATTGAATTACTCAGGAATTTCAAAGGTGTTTGATGAATTTGCATGATTAATTCAAGATTACAGCTTTTTGTTTCAAGAAATTTACATAAAAATTCAACATTTAAATTTAAAAATATAAATCTTAAACATTTTTATGGGTCTTAACACTTTTAAATGTGAATAAATGCAACAAAGAAACTAATATCAGGCCATCCTCCATGATTCTTGGAGGTGGGTGGGTGTACAAAAACTGCTGATAAAATTTATAGGAAGTGACAAAAGAAGAACAGGGCACTTTATTAGCTGAATTATGGTTATTCTGATATATTGATTGTGTAAATATGTCAAATTTCTTCATCACTTTAATTTGTAATTTATTAATATTTCAGTACATTAATGTGCTTAACAAATCATGCTAAAATAAACATCCTGACTGAGACTTAATTTAAAAGAGAGGGTCAACACCTACATATAAGTGGTAAAATGACAAAAAACATTCTCCGGCAAACTGAAAAATCTTGAATGTCAGCTGCGAAAGCATGGAAAAAGTCTAGAGAACCATAACAGGCATACCATGGTGCTAAGTGACATTCTGTACTATATGTGTGATGCATGGTTGGGACTCAGAATAAGTATTCACTCTCATGCCCTGACAGTATTTATGCATTTTTGGTCATGAGCTTCTTATTTTTTGAAAAATTCTTAATAAATTTTATTTGTGCATTACTTTTATTAGACAAATTTAACTCATTTCATTATTTCTATTCCTCCACTCCAGTAATGAATGAATCACTTAAGGTGAATAAAATGAAAGTAAACCCAGTCTCTGTAAAATTTAACACTTTTTAAAAACATGTTTTACTTCTTCACATTTTGTCGCAGTTGTCGCTTTTGTTGAAAACTCATTCGCAAACCCAGAATTAGTCTTTTCTTGAAAAATCAGCCTAAAGTGCTTTTACGGCAAAGTCTGTAAAAAGTGACTGCCAAATTAAAATCTAAAATCAAAGAACTGGAAAGACTGGGAGTTATGAAGTTACACCTGAAGACAACTTTCATTGAACTGTCTGCTAGAAATAAAGAAAAGAAAATTACATACTCAGGTGTGAATATCAGTTTTATTATAAGTAATTATTTTTTATCATTATAGTTTAGTTTATTTATGCTAGATTTTTGTATTTATTCCTTAGGAGTACCCCATATCTGTTAGTATTTGAAGTGGTAAAAGATATCTTTGTTGTAGTGGACATTTTCGATTTGGTGAACTTCTACAGCTATTAGCGACTATGGATAAAAAAGTTTGGAAACCATGTTGTGCAAAAATTAAATAACTATTACAAATAAAATTGATATAATTAACCAAATTAGTGACTGTATACATTATACTGCATTTTGATTTTTTTAATGGTTTATAAAAAGTATTCCATGAAAGTATCATGTTAATGTTTTAGCAAAATCCGTACGATAATGTTCGCACTACTAAATAATATATGTTCTCATATGAACCACAGTATTTCTGATTAATGACCCACCTGATTCGCTGCCAGTAAAATGAAGTCTGGTAAATAAATACGAATTTAGGACAAATGATACATTACACTTTGACCGGTTGAGAACAAAAGAGGGTTGTAAAATGTCATCTCCCTGATCTGCTTCTTGCACACATTCCATTTGAAATGCTGTATTTACATTGAATACCGGTATCTCCCTTGAAACTGGACATCCTGTTTAAAAGATTTTGTTTCTTACCTTAAGTATTTTTATATATCATAGAGGGGCAACCTCTTAAACTTAACAAAAACAGAAAACCATATCAGAATATATTCGCATCGTTCGACGGTAAACCTGTTAACCGGATTCTCGTTGACAACACTAGTGGTTTTTAGTGCATAATTACATGTATCAGTCATTCTACAAAAACATGCCCAATTAATAATTTTTTATGTCGTTTACAAATTTACCTTTGTAATATCGTAATTATAATTTTAAAGATCAATTTCAACTCTAAAATTTAAAATAGACACATGGTTTTGTAAACATTTAGACAGACAGACAGACGGACGGACGGACGAAGGACACCTTACTATCGCATAAGCTCTTCTGGTCTCTAAAAAAATTTTGTACTGTAAATCTTGATATCGCTTCATTCATTTAGAAATTTGAATGCGAAATTTTCATCTGTATAATCATTCAGAGTAGATTGCAAGGTATGTTAAAGAAAAGTTTTTTTTCCTAAGACCGCGGAACATTAACTGGCAAAATTGGAAATATGCAGCTTACGTCATTTCCATCTGTTACAATCAAACATTTAATGATAGACAATGGAGTGGGCGGGTACAATTCGGCACGGACGTCCGAGAAAACATTGGATTGAAATTCTAGTTTGAAATTAATTTTCAATCCACCTCAGCTACGCTAGAATCACGATGTTACTGAATGACCCAGAGGACAAATAATTTCAATTTCGGAATAGTTTGAAATTTGTATAAATCAGAATTTCTGTCCAGTGTTTTTAAAGAAATAAAAAGGGACAAACATTTGATTCCTGTTTGGTATGTGCATGCGTGTGTTGGGGGAGAGGGGCTGTACGATCTTGGAAATAAAAAAAGAAAGTTTTTTTTAACT